GAAAACTAACTCAGCAAAAGAGCTAATAGTTTTCCACCTGTTTAGTGAGTTAAATCAGCTCATCAAGGGCTTAGAAAAGTGACAGAGAGCAAAAGAGAGAGAGATTGTGAAGCTTGAAGCAGGAAGGGAAATAGGGGAAGCTGGACCACCTTTTTAGGTGGTACTAACTTGGTACATGAATTTAGATGTGTTTCTTGTTACCTGCTCTTGCTGCCTGACTCATTGCAACACTATGTCCATTTTCCATGAGAGCTGCTGCCCCTGAGATTGTGCAGACCAGGAGATGGAAAATCTACTGAGATCATTACTCCTGATGTAAATAGTACTCCTATTAGTTTGGGAGAGGAGCAGTCCTTGGACAATTTCTCTCTCTGATCTGGCATATTTAAGGCATTTGACCTCCAATGTTGAGTTAATGAACAAAAGAGTGCTGGGTTGCAGCATATCCTTTTGCTAGGGTCTTCCTGGCTTTCTGCCCCTCCAGATACAGAGCTAGAAGGTATCATTTGACCCTTTGGCAATTTAGCATAAGAGCTTATGGGGTAGCTATGTAAAAGAGCAAAGCCATTCTCTTTGCTGCTCCAGGGCAGAAGAAATTTACAACTGATGTCCTGGATAGACACCATGAGGAAAGCGATTCAGTGATCCCTCACTGTCCATGCATAACAAATCCTTCCATTTAACATATCTTGAGCATTTAGTGGCTCCCAATTAAGAGCAGACATCCAGCCATAACTATCCCATGGCAGGCATTAGAGATCCTGCTTTTTCACTGCTCTTAGTCCAGCCATCTCCAAGAGCGCAAAAGGAATGCAGAACCCCTGTATCGTATCGTATCCCAACTTGGGCATCATTTACAGCCGGTCTGAACATGCATATGACACTGTAGTGTAGCTCTACTTATGCAGCCAGCCACTTTATAAAAGTTTCTTATTTGTACCAGTTCTCAGAAGCTTTTGCAATGCAACAGCCAATGCCAGTGTGTTTAAGAGCTATGGGTTTTCTTCTAAAAAGGTTCCAAATGCCTTTCTCTCCACAAATAAACCTGCGCGTGGGAAGCTGACACAGAGATACATGCCTAAGTAGAACTCTATAGGATACTCTACTCTGATCTTGCTTATACTGCTGTGAGGTCACCGTAATATTATTCCAGATTCATTGCAGAGCAAATGAAAGGCAAAAGGTCCTAATACTGAGACAAATTTCTGTTCAGTGTTACAAAGGGAGCTCAGGCATTCATGCTCACTTTGAGAGTGAGTGCTGTTTGGGAGACCTGGGTCCACACAATCTAGAGGTGGAAAGACTTTTGAGACATAGCTTGCCTTTTCATCAAGGCTACAGACTGTCATGTAACGTAAGGAGTACCTCTTGTCCTCTGGGCAGTGCCTGCAGATAGTCTGTGCACTCTCTTATGTAGCTAATCTATATGTTCCTGCTATTAATGTCTATAGCAAGGGCAAGGGGGAACATGAACAGTTGTGCTGATTCCTGCCCAGATCTGCAGTGTTTGGTTAGCAAACAATGGACTGGGGTGGGGCTGGAGATGTAGCTCCCTTGCACTAAAATACCACCTTCCAGCTCTTCATATGGCTGCCACCCGTTTCTCTGGTGTTTCCCCATAGGTCCATGACTGGTTTTGTTCCAGTGCCTCAATGCTCTGCATAATTCTTGCTCAGAGAAGTTCTCCCAGTCATGCCAGTGACACTACTCAGATGAATATGAAGTAGTCAAGAAGGTCTGCATGCCTGCACCTTAATGATTTATCTTTGTCTTCCTTTTCTTCCCAGATCTACTGTGAGGTTACACTAAGGCTTCTGGTTTCTGATGTCCCAGAGCTGAGAAAAAGTATCCCAGATAACTGAAGCCAAGCAGACTAATGCATGAACACAGTAAGTTATTTGCTTTCGCGATTCTTCCAGGAAGAATTCTATGAGAAAGCTTACAGTAACTGTAGTTGAGAAAGAGCTCTCTGATTTTCCCATGTATACTGATCAGCACTCACCTCAGATTAGCTTTCCTTCTCATAGTCTGTCAGCAGCCCTGAGATCAAGGAGATTAAAACACTCTGGTAACTCATTAATGAGCCAGGACTCTGCAACAGCTGGACCAAAAATGGCCTGTGTTTGGCTGCATCTTAATTCTTTGCCATCTCCCCTCTGCTTATCAACACCTGCACACATTTGGGACCCAGTATAAGAAGACCCCTGAATTCAGCTCTAAGCAACCAGTCTGCAATGCACATGTCTAATGCTCTGTTGGTGTGGAACCAGTATGCTGGTAATCCTGTTAGTGATGGCAGAAGCTCCCTCTAGGAAATTATAACAAATAGTCTTGAACAATTCCTTTTGTTGACAACTTTATCCAAGAAACCATCTTCCCTGGAGACTTCACTCAACTTTTGACTAATCCCCTCCTTCCCTCAGGAGCTCTTTTGTTGTAGGAGATTGTAGGCAAACCCCAGAAATGACAGGTCTCTGTAAGCCTTGGATCAGCCTCTACATTCTTTCAATTGTCAGTCCCCATCTGTCCTGTTTGTACATCGATCTTCTGGTCCAGGGATCTCTCTATTAAGTGACACATGGCTGAGTTTATTCCGCAAGTCCAGTGTCCAGACTGTGCCGTTACATCTTCGTTGCCAAGTCAATCTTTCTGACGTTGCTTTCTGAAAAACAAAAGGCAGGACATCTGCACAGTTTCATTCTCTTCTACTGAAAGGTGATTTTTAAAAATAACCCACTCCACCAAACTCTGCCCTTGTTTTATACTCTCACAGATTTTGCTTCATTTTGTCAATATCAAGAGTTATTTCAAAGGTCCTTGGTGTAATGGAAGGTAGAATCTGCCCTTGTTGCAAAGGAATTCTGTCAGGTTAAAAATTCATGGCCTAAGTCCTGAATCAAAGGGAAAAAACAAATCCTGATTACAAATATTCTGTGGGACTAGTGACTTCAGTTACTTTGCTTGTTAACAGCTGGTTTAAAACAAGCCCTAATCTTTCTGTAGATTCAACTACACTCAGCTAGTACAGTAGCACATACATGTAAGAGGCAGTGCATTATTTTTCTGCGTTTTGAGAGGCAGCATGAAAATGGAAGCAGATTCCAATGATCCATACGTTCCTGCTTGGCAGGTAGAATGAAAGAGGTGCAATAGGGTAGAAAATGGATGGAGTGTTGGCATGGAGTGTATATCACCCTGGGATAAATGCCTGGCACTATCTCTTCTCTTCCTGTAACCAGAAGGAGAACAAGGAAGAGACTGTGATGATGTTTTGTCCCTTGCTGTGTTGCTCAGGGCCCATGGATTAATGATTGAGCCTGGTATGTTTAGTTTTTTGGTTTTGTCTATTTTTGTAACTTAGCTCAGGTTGGCCAGCGAAGGAAGGCTGGCCAATTTCATTATGTTCCCAGGAAATTCCATTCTCTCATGTGCCAGCATGAGGCTGTTGTGCTTTAGATGCCTATCTACCTCTGATTAGATTTGAAATAGCATACAGAACCCCCTGCTTTCCATTGGTAGCCTGTTAAAATGACAAAAAAAAAAAAAGAAACAGTTTCATTTATAACCTTGCTTGCATGTCTGAATCCAGATGCCTTTTTAAAAAAGAGAATTAATAATATGAAATCCATCATTTATAGAATGTTTTCCTGTAATGAAGTGCAGAAGAAAACTTGAGTTGACATTTAAGCTTGTTTAGTATGTTTTATAAGCATCTTAAAAAAAAGAACACAAACACTTTGAGGCCAGTTTAATTAAAAAAAAAAAAAAGTTTAAGAGTATCTCCTACTATTTTCATGGTTTCACTATTTTAACTTACGTATGTATGAAATACTCTCAAAATCAGTTAAAACTGGCCAAATCCAAGTTCACTGAACGCTGAAGCATGAGTACCCTCCTCAAGTGAGTTGTCCCAGAAGCCTTAGTGGAACCAACACCCAGCTTTTTTGGCAGGATTAGTTCCTCCCTGATCACAGAGAGAGAACAGCCACCCTGTCTGCACTTAGCTGAACAGGTGAGCAGGGAACATATCCAGCCTGCCTCCAAAACCCAATCTGGTCACAGGGCTGGCAGTGTCAGGTCCTTCTTGAAAGGACTTGAGGGTGTCCTGTCTGCCAGCTGTTGTCTACGTGATGAGGGCAGATGGGGTAGAGAGAGGCTGTGAGACCTGGCACTGAGTGCTGGGACCTGTTTCTGTAGCAGGTACATGCTGTCTACATGCATTTGGAAGCACAGACAGGTAGCTGAGGTTCACCCTGTTATCACAGAGGTTGTCTCTTAGCTTGGCAAACAGTAAGACAGTCAAACTAATTTGTCCTCAAGACCAGTTTCCAGGTCTGCCCTGCAAGCACAAACGCAGCTGGTGACACTGACTGGACACATGCTGTTAACAAATGCACAAAGTAAACAAAGAGACAGGATATATTAAAAGGGTATTTTCTGGTAATTTCTTTCAATAACAGTGATTTTAAATGATCTTTTGGTCTTCTGTAACAAACCGGAGATGAAAAATGTTGATGCTGAAACATCATTTTGAGGTCTGTCATTTTAAATAGTGACTAATTAAAACCAAGGATGTTACGAGCTAAGGAGATTTTGCCCAGCACTGCTCAGGTTCCATAAGTAAGCTATAAAATGGGAACTCAATAGACAAGGACAAAGGCAAACAAAGCGATTTGGTCAGTTTAAGCAATGGGGAGATTAAGCAATATTTTGACTGGGGAGGCATCAGAGGAAAGGCCACTGGTCTGAGACTTGGCAATAAGATGAAACAAACCCAAACCTCCCATGATACCACTGAGCATTGTGCATTGGGGATCACTGGCTTGCTGATCTCTCTGAATGTGAGATTCTCCACTTTGTCCTCAGCCTGGGATGTGGTCATCCAGCTCTGTTTTCCCACCTTCAATACACAAAGGAATTCATGTGCTAAGGATGATGGCACCAGCTTTGACAGTGGCAACTATGCACTTACCCAAGAATTAGTCAGTCATCCATGCTGTCTACCAAAATTTGCTTGAACCTCCTGAGAAATGGCTTTTTCGGTAAGAAGCAAAGAGGTCACAGATTTCAGGTTGCAGTCTCACTCCTGGAACTGTGAGCACTGATTGTCCTGTGGGAAAATCAGGTTAAAGAGAAAGCTGCAAAACGGCCCTTTTCCTTCACTGTGCTACTTTCCTAACGCTCTCCTGTGATGTTAGCCACAATATAAACTAATTCAGGATCCTGTTTCTCACAACTCTGTTCCTTCTGATTTTTTTGGAAAATGATTTCTTTAATCTAGGCACCCGTCTCTAGAAATCTCATCTATGGTTCCTTTTCTTTTTTCTTTTTCTTTTTCTTGGAGCAGCAAAATACGATTTAGTAGAACAGTGGTAGGAATGCAACCCGCTAATCAAAAGGATTCAAATGGATCTGTGCACTGCCAAGCTCTCTCCTTCCCACCCAGTGGAAGAGGAAAAAAAGAAAAAGAAAAAAGAGATAGAGCGAAGGCACGGAGCTTCTCTCCTTCAGCAATTTCACAAATGCAAAACCTTCCACTCCAGTGACTCCTCATTAACTTACCAAATCTGACAGTCTAATTATCGTAGCTGCTTCACGCTTAGAATAAATAAATACTAAAGTGAGTGTTTAAAGAAATTGAGCAGTGAAATTCAGTCATCTAGACAGTCAATAGAGAGAGAGAATTTATTTTAAATTTTTATATTCTTATGTATTTATATCATTTTAGGAAAGATAATGAGATAGTTGTCTTTCAGGCTAATTGAGTTCCTAGGCTCATGGTTGCTTGCTGTCACAATCTCAAACTTAGCTTTAAACTTTTGTGCTTTAGAAATCTGATCACTACATCCCCATTCGCTCTTTTCTGCTGATAACTGGGTGAAGGCAGAAGTGCACCTGAGGATGGGAAATGACTATGCGGGAGTTCCAGTCCGGATGTCTTTCACAGCAAATAAGACAACTAAATTTCCTCAGATTTGCATTTAAGAGTGTTAGAGGGAAAATGGAAGTTAAAGAAACCTCAGATAGAACTTGCAATTACACAAAATATAGGAAAATGTCTGCTAACCTCTGATGCAATAGTGCCTGCCTCCATGAAGGGTATTAACAGCACTCCTTCCCAAGAGCAGTTCATCTCCCTGAACAATAAGACCTTTTATAGAGATTCTCTGGCCTGAGATCAATGGGAGTCAAAGCATTTGATCCATGTCTGTAGGACTTTGTTTCCACAAGTCATGTGGGCCAAACTTTGTGCCAGTTGTGCTTTTGCAAGAGCATGAGCAGAGGAGTGAGCAAGGGAAACCTTCCATCTTTTCCTTCCCTTTCCCCCTGTGCTCCTAAACAGGGCCCAGCACCTGCCAGCATGATGTCTGCTCCAGGCCAGTGCCCAAGGAAGAGCTTAAGCAGGGCAACATCTCCAGAGGCCTGTGCCCTTGGCACGCATCTGCTGTGATGTTGCAATGGCTCTTTCCCAGGGTGGTGGTTTAATGATAGAATACAAAACCTCAGTGTCCTGTCTGTTAAGCAAGCAGACCTTCCACCACTGTGGAGATCAGGCCAGGTGAAGTGAGGGCTGTTTTTCCTGAGTTAAGTGAAGACTTGCTTTATCACCTTACAGAAAAGACTGCTTCTGGTTCAGGAGAGGCAGCCGATTTGCTACTCAACACCAACTTTGGTTTATTCCCCTTATTAAGACACATTATAAACCAGATTCATACACCTGGTGGGAATTTCACTTTCTAGGTGTCTGTATCTGATTTGCAGTGAAGGATATGCATTTGCTGTATTACACAGGTGGCAGAGCACAGAGGTAAAATAATCTATAGACCTATTAGCTATGTAGGAGAACCAGCCAACCCAAAAAAGATGTCCATGAAAGCCAGCTCTTCTTTATACATGCCCTGTGATAACATCTACCAGTGCCGGCTAATCTCAACAGTAGTGACATTTTTGGTAGGCAATGGCTTGCAGGCTTAACCTCCTCATTGCCTACGCTTGCTTTGCATTAGTTTAGATGCAACAGGCATTAAAATATGACAGTGCTCTCTCAACATCAAGCCTCCCTCCTCCTCCTTGTCTCTGAAAAGCTGAATAGTGGGCTGTTTTAGGAGGAATGGTACAATCTCATCACCACTGGGCACATAGGTTTTGAATTGCTGTGGGGAGGTAACAAATCAGAGACCAACCATACCCAAGTCCCTCCTAGTCCAAGCCAGGACCACATCCACGCAACACACAATCCTCCTCACAGAGCGCAAATCAGACTTGATGACTAACTGCTGTGCCGATGGGATGCCCAGGGTCGAACGTCTCCTGAACTGGGAGAAAGGTCTGTACTGAGCCTGGACATGGGTCTAGTGGGGATAGGATCTCAGGTGCCAGCTCAGGCCTCCCTGGCCCCTGTGCCTGGGTTGTTCAGCCAGAGCTCTTCTTGCAGTGTGTTTTCTTGGGAGCATACTGGTGCTAACCCCAAATCCCACTGGTCACCCTCCCTGCTTGCAAGCCTGCTCTAAAGCTTTTGAGGGCAAGAGAGAGAGAAAATAAACCAAATCTATAACTAAGAATAATAAGTTGCAATTGTTACTGTGTTTGACCTGTCTGACAGCAGAGTGAGATACCTTCTCAGGAGGGCCTTTGCACTCCAGGACTGACACCGAGTTGAGAGCACACCTCATGCTTTCGTGATTCAAGGATCTTATCTTTCTTCCAGGAGTGATTAATTGGATGGAAAACATTCTGCTTTAGCAGGTGGCAAAGGGTTAGACTGAAGTTTTATCAGAGCTGCTGTAATGCAGGGCTGCACTGCACAAAGGTAATTGTCTCAGAGCTGGCTTAGGCCAGAAAAAGGACAGCGAATGCTCCACTTTTACAAAAGGTCATCACTGCCACCCCTTAGGCTACTGACCACAGTGGAAAGAAGCTGGAGAATCTCCTGCTCCTCTCCTCTGTTGCTATATCCAGAGGTGCTGGTGGCGTGCGTAGAATTAAGGGCACCGAGATGATGAGTAGGGTTTGAAGCAGGGCCTTAGCAGCCCTTTCTAGTGCCAGAGGCACAGGAGCAAGAAGCTGTGGGAGAGGCCCATCTGTGGACCAGCTCACTCAGGGGACAGAGTCTTCCTCTCTTACAGCATGGCTACTCTTTTTTCTAGCACTTTGCATCCAGATGAGCATAAGGAATAGCAACCTGTTCCCCACTGCAGGAGCTGACCATCAGGAAGTAAAGAGCTGCGTGCTCCCGCTCCCCTTTCCCGGGGCAGCAGCCAGCCTCTAGCCAGTAGCATTCCCCTCAGTAATCAGAAACATGCTATTTGGACAGGTACTCGTCTTTGAAACACTGATTTCTCCAATTATTTTTTCCCAGGAGTTGACCTTTGAAAAACATCTTCTAGCTTCCAGCTTGTCATAGCAACTAATAAAAAGGACAGTTATGGATAGAATTATTTCATAAAAATAGAAAATAATTTATGGGAACCTTTTCTTTTTTCAAATGTTGTTTCCCTCTTACTCTGACGCACACCTTGGGATCAACTCCTTTCTCCTTTCACCTTTCCTCTCCGGCTCATTCTTTGCCCTTTTGCTTTAACTTTCTCCTTCAGAGGATGGGGACTAATAGCCAGCATCCTCCAGAACAAAGTGGGAACACAATATATTTAAAATCTGCCTTGTGTTATCATAGCAGCGAGAAATTTAAAATTATATAGTTAAATTATGAAATATTGTGATGCTCAAGTGACACAAGAGAAAAAATGTCTTACACGATTATGGCAATAGGGATGGCTACATGGGGAATTATTCAGAATTGCCTAATTTTTACTGGCTTAATGAGTCACTCGTGAATATGGTCTTGCATGATCATACTGTACTTGTTTCAGCCCTGTGCACTTTGATTCTGCTCCCAACACACTGGTTGCTATGATAACGCCATGCAGTTTCCTGTCCACAAGGTACTTCTCATGGCAATATAGGGGATAATAAATATGGGATGGTGAAATGAATCTATCCCTTCGCTGGCAGTGTGTCGGGGAGATTGACACATTATGCCAATCTGTTTTCTCATTCCTTCTATTTCTCCTCAATCTCTCCCTTTCTCTCACACTGCCTGTCTCTGTACCTGTTTTTTTTCCACACTCTCTCTCTCTCTTGGCACTGACACTTTCATCTTCTCCCTTGGGGATTGGAGATGTCACTGCGGGAAGTGCTTGTCCGCCTCTCCGGCAGCAGCAGAGCCCTGTGGCTTTGACAAACCTCATTTAATTGGGAGGAAGCCAGGAGGGTTTGAAAGAACTGAAACATCCACGAAACTCCTTTTATCAGGCATAATTTAAACTCTGCATGGAAAAAACCCTATATGTATAAAGAAAAGTCAACTTCCCTCCTGCTGTGCGTGCTCCCCTCCTCCCCCCCCGGCACAGGCAGGCTCCTGTGAGATTCCATCTTTTCATTTTTCTAAAAGTGTCAAAGTAGATTTGTGCTCTGTGGCTGGGTGAACAGAAAAGGAATGCAGATGTCTCTCACTCATGCACATACACACACAGAGCACCTTCTGAAGGGCAGCGGTTTGGGGGAGATGCTAGCTGGCTGCTCCTTCACTCGGGATGAGTAGCAGGAGCCAGAAATTAGGTTTTCAAATAGCTTGACAACACAGTCTGAGAAGGCTGCTTCTTAATTGCCCCTATCTTAAAAAAACCCACCATCTAACTAGCATAGCCAGTGCCCAGGAGGCAACAGGGAAGGTGAGGGCTCTCTGGCCTGTTGCCTGATAGGAGGGAGATTTCCTAGTGAGGAACACAACTTGTACCTTGAGAGACCCTGTATTTACTGTCAGCTCAGGGCGGGAGAGGCAGATCTGTGTCTATGCAGCTGTGTGCTTCAGAGAAGGGAGCAAGGGAAGAAGAAAATAAAGCAGGTAAAACTGAAGGAGAACTGGTGTGACAGGGTAGGAACAGCTGTTGTCTCTGAACATCAAAAGGGAGCAGGAGGAGTGGTCCAAGGGAATTGGGGCTAGCACATCATGCTGAGCAGCTGGGAATTCAGGACATCAGGAGGGACCAGCATGTGAGTTACACTGAATACACAGTGTGAGCCAGCCCGAGGGAAAGCTCCGGGCCCCTGGGGTTAGAGAATGGGGAAGAAACGACCTGTCAAGGCACATACACCTCCGCTTTGTAAATGTACCATGGCGGCAGCCCATTTAGGTCCCCTTCTGGTATTAACACTGTGGTCAAGTGGAAGAAAACAGAAAAACAAGCTGTCGAATTTGCAATGGGATGTAAACTTTGCAGCATATGGGAGTGGGGAGGAAGGGCAGGCAGAAAAGAGAGAGATGTCCGGGTGAATGGCAGAGACTTTCAGAGTGCAGAAGAAACTCATAATAAATGGCGTGTGAATTAGCTCTTTCTTGGTGAGACACAATCAAGAGTTAACTTACCAGCAGGAACCTGATAGAGCTGAGAAGGCAGAGGGCTGAAGAAGCCATGAAGGAGTGCATCTTGTGCAGAGATTCGGCCTCGAGGGAAGGCTGTCAGCATCCTAGAGGCCAAATCCTCTGCTGCTGGCACCTTGCTCAGCCTAGGAAAACAGGAGAAAAAATTGAACAGGAGATGAGGACAGTCCAGAAAGCTGGAACCAGAACTTGACCCAGCCCTTCTCAGAGCCTGAGGCAGAGGTAGTGGAGGGACGCAGGGGAGCTGGATAAACCCACTCCAGCTGTGTAGCTTTCCAGGACATTTGCTCTTCCACGAGTTTGATTATGTTGGAGTATATGCATCCAGGATTTCAGCTCAAACTCATGTGTTCAGAGGAATTTTGAAAATAAATTGGGGTTTTTTTAAGAAGTAGGTTGTAAGTAAAAGGGCAAATGCTGCTGGGGATACTATATTTTACATGTTGTAACTGGAATGTCAGAGAAGTGTTACCAGTTTACAGTGACAATGAAAGTGCATGAAATAAACTGACTGGCCTACTGAGCAGAACAGAAGTCAAAACTAAAGAATTAAAGAAAATACCGTTTCTTCTTTTCCTGCCCTAGTACCATTAGTGCAGTTGGTTGTAAAATGTGTTGGGGATTCAGAGATGAATCTGTTTCTCAGGCTGACTGCTTAAAATAGATGTAATACACACATGTGCCATGCCCAGCGAATACCAATGGCAAGTGGCTGCTTTCTAGAGGAGCACACAGCTGGGGACAAGGAAATGGAAGAGAGAAAACAAACCAACAAGGAAACAAATAAAAATAGTCATTTAGTTTTACAGCTTTTACTTTGTTTGTTTGTTCTGATCATGTTTCAGCATCAGGAGGCCCATCAGAGCATGGCCTGTTGTGCTTCCTCCCTCGGCCCCCACCACTTCCCTCGCAAGTGACATCAGGCGCTGGGATCCCCTTGCCCCTGCACTCCTCCTCCCTACACAGGACATTTGACATTTTTGTTTTGAGGAGATAAAATGTAAAACAAAGAAGGGAAAAAACACAGAGAGAGATCCTGAGAAAGAGATTTATAAAAGTTATCTGGCCTCGCTGTGGTAGGTAACTGCTGAATTCTCCCATCCAGCAAAATGGTTTGAGCCCCTGCTGCCTTGGGGAGCAGGGACGGGACAGGGAGCCAAAGCATCCAGCTTGAGGCTGCTTGCTAAGGGCTGCACCACAGGCTGCCCTGCCATGGCAGGGTCTTATTGGAGACCCTCTGCTCCCTTGGTCCCTGCTGCTGCAGGCTCCCACACTGGGCAGCAACATGGTTCAGTGCTTCCCACCATGACTCCAGCTTCCTGGTGGTGGCCAGGCTCTGCACAGAGCTCTCCTTTGATTTCTTAATTGGCCATGGAGAGTCATGGCTGAGTGGTCTGTATGAAGCAGCTCTTTCCTTCTCAAGAGCCAAGCATGCCAAAGCGGCCATTTGGCCATACTGGCATAAGGACTTTGTAACGCAGAGTTGGAGCTGGCCCACGTGCAGCCCCGAGCTCTGCTGCAGAGGCGCTGGGCCAGGCCATCGGTGTGGGGCTGTAATGGGGCCTGTCAAAAAGCAGAAGTGTAGTACAGCAGAGTTGCAAGGAATATAGTTATTTCTTTGTTCAGGCTGAGAGAGGTGTTCTGTTCCAAGACCTGTGTTATCAGGGTTTGGGACATGCTGAGCTTTGTGTGTTTCTGAAGATGTGCGTGACAATGGCTGGCATTTCGGCAACCTGAGCTTTGCTGAAAACTTCAGCATGTTTCTTCAGCCATCCAGAACAGTGTCTGGGAAACTCAGCAGCAGCGATGAAAAACGTGGTTACATCCTCAGAGAATATTTGATTCTTGACCTGTGCATGAACACAATCCTGAGGACAAATCCTACTTATCTATAAAGCTGGTTTTGTGCCTCAAAATCAGTGTTGGGAGGGATTCAGTTTTACTGGCTTTCTGAGCTAGGTTAGGGCACTTTGCCTGATTATAAATTTCTTTCACTGGTACATATATACATTATATATGTGTGTGTGTGTACATATATATATGCTTAAAAAATACTCCCTTCTCTTGGCACATTAGGGAGTGATTGGGCAGTGCTGGTGTGCCTGGTCAAGCTGAGGTAAGTAACCGTGGCCCTGGTCTCATAGCTTTTTGCCACTGGAGAATGTGAATTTTCCCCTCCTAACTAATCACAAGATTATTTCACTGTCTTGTAAAAATGCTGTCCTAGCACATCTTCCGTACCACTGTTGAGCAGTGTTCCTACAGTCTGTTTCTAGAAATGAAAATTGGGACAGTGCAAAGTCTGTCTTCAGTCTGGGCAAGAGGGCCTGGGAAAGTCCGACCTTCTGAATCAAACTGTGCCCCGCAAAAAGCTGCACATAATGTCATTGAATCACTGCTTATCTGAGAATAATCACTACTCCTCTGAGAATAATAAACCCACTATGTGCCTACCTCTACTGCAGTCTCTCGAAATCAGTTGCTTAACTGATGTCA